GACTCCAACATCTTCTGGTGTTCTGGAGGACCAGGATAGATATGGGACAGACTAGGCTAGGCTCAAGTCCTACTGAGCCATGTATGAGCTGTATGTGAGTATGGATGAGCCATGGCTGGGGTGAAACATCTAACAGCAAGAACCAGATTGGGTTGAAGGCCAATCAGGAAAAGCCACTGTTCCTGCTAGGACAGGAGGTGAACTGAGTATGGCTGGCTCATGGAACCCCTGGTATGTGCAAAATCTGGCACTGGGAGAGGTTTTGATGGAGGAGCTTGGGCAACTCCTCAGGCAGGACACAGATCTGGCAGGTAAGCGCAAGAAGCATGATAGGAAACAGCCCAGAACAGGCCATGGAAAGTTTCCCATTGGCATACATTTGGCATGGGTCGGGGGCAGACCAGGCTGAATCAGTTCATGTCATCCACTGGCAAATCCGAGCACCAAAACAGTGTGGGTCGAGCCAGGTTTGGTCGCAACAAAAAGTGCACATTTCGGAATGCCAAAGTGAGGTTACCTATACTGGATGTGACTGCAGTGCCCAACAGCACATGTGAGAACCAGGAAGGGAGGGGCGGAGCCGGCAGGGGGATGCCCTACTGGAGAGCTACTCCCACTGGAGAGCGTGAGCTGGGATGGGGCAGACCAGACTAAGCAGGGCTACAACATCTATGCGCCTCATGTGAACTAGATCAGGGAAAAGCCAGGCTGGGCTGATTGTTCCTACTGGTGCAAGCTACAATTAGAGTGGATGAGGGTTGTTTGGGCTTAGCCGCAGCATCAGCTGGCACAAGCTGGCACTGGGGGCTAATTCTATCAAGTTAAACCACAGAACCACCTGGAGAGTGAATAATCCAGGAGTGGGAGTGGCTTGAGAGGGAAATAGTGGGCTCCTCCCTCTTGGGTTACCACTCCCACTGGAGGGCACAAAAACTAGGACAGGGGCTGGGGTGGTTAGACAGAGAGGCGCCCAACAACACTGATGAGAGCTGGATAGTTGAGCTGGTTAGATAGAACTAGGCTTTAATACCCATTGAATGTATGAGAACTGAATGAGATGTGGGACAGACTGGACTAACCTGCTACGCATACTGGCAAACCAGGGTAGGGGGCGGGCCTGGTGGGGGTTATTGTGGGTCGCTCTCACCAGGCTGCAGCTCCCACTGGTCTGTGTGAGGGCCGAGTGTGTGCTGGGCAGAACCAGGCTGGATTGCAACACCACTCATTGGTTCCAGTGGAAGACAGGGCTGAAAACAGAAGCAACCACCATCAATTGCAACTACCAGCTGATTGGGGCGATGGACTGTGCTGGACCCTGTACTTGCTAGTACACACAAGAATCTGGTCTGGGAACACCTCAAAATTTCTTTGGGGATCCCCCCAGTTGAACTGCCGGACTCAGAACCCTAACCATCAAAAGACAGAAGACAGAACAAGTCAATCAACCACTTCAGCTATATGTTGGCAGTGAAAAACTGGGCAAACGGAGACTCTCTGAAGGACTATGTCAATCAGTGGATTCTTTAACAACCTCATCGTGCTTGGAGTGGCGAGACTGGCAGCAATTCATAACTGTTGAACTATCAAAACCGCTTGAGCAAGACCCTCGGAGCATGCCCCACATCCAGGACCTGGGGTGGGTGGGAGATTGGATGGGGCTTCTCCCTTAAAATCCCCCTTTAACTCAGATATATGAAGGAAACAATATGGAAATAATAGTCTTACCCATTTTCCTGTAGCCCTTGAACCTTTTTACCCTAATTAACTATGTAAAGATTATTAAAGATATAATAAAAAAAATGGAAAAAGTTAAAAATATATAATGCTGAGTACCCATGGACCCTGGGTGACAAAATCAGAAAAGGACATATAGGGGATATCAAAAGTGTAAATAATACCTATTTTTCAAAACATAAGTATACGAATGTTTATTATTCTTTATTTTAGTATTAGATTTAGTATTACAAAGTTTTAAAGTCTTATAGAATTTATACCCAAATCATACTTAATCCTTCTAACTGGTTCATGTCCTTCCCCAAAATCAATTCTTTAAAATACATGCTCAATTCCACACAAACTGTGTTTTAGGAGAGGCCACCTACAAAAGCACAGTGAGTAAAAGCCAATGTAATGTGAAGTTTGATTTGTTGGCCTTGGTGCAACCTGCCCCTGAAGCCAGGCATGCCAGGCATGCCAGGCAGTGATCTGACCAGTTGTAAAACACAATGCTCATTCTCATCAACCTGAACAGCCACTTAACTGACTAGCGGCTCACGTGAAATGTCTGTCTCTGCCATGCACCATCCCAACAGCTGCAGTCATCGACTGGAAGACAGTGCTGAGGGAACATCAATATGCAAAGAAGTGCAGGGCCTACGATCCTCTGTTAACTTTACTTAGCTATTAAGTGCATTTGTGAAATTAGAGTTGACCCATAAATGTACTGTAATGCTTCAAAGTGTAATATTTTAAAAAATCAATATGGTTAGAAAAGTGTACTAATTAGACAGCATCTGAGCAATTACAAAGTCAGTATAATGGCAAACGTAAATTTTTATTACCCTGAATTCCATATTCATCTAAGACAGAGGCCTCCCAACTTCCTATTAAATATGTCCTTTCCAAATTACCAGCTAAAATCAATATTTTCTGCTTCAATTCTGTGGTTGAAGAAATGAATTAAAGCAATAGGAATAAATCCAGAAATAAGAAACAATAGCAGCTTCTCCATTTCAAATGAAAACTGATTTTTTTTAAGATTTATTTTTATTGGAAAGGCAGATATATAGAGCAGAGAGACAGAGAGGAAGATCTTCCATCCACTGATTCACTCCCCAAATGGCCACAGCAGCGGGAGCTTAGCCAATCCGAAACCAGGAGCCAGGAGCCTCCTCTGGATCTCCCTCGTGGGAGCAGGGTCCCAAGGCTTTGGGCCATCCTGGACTGCTTTCCCAGGCCACAAGCAGGGAGCTGGATGGGAAGCAGGGCCATCAGGAATTAGAATCAGCACCCATATAGGATCCTGTTGCGTGCAAGGCGAGGATGTTAGCCATTAGTCTACTGTGCCAGGCCCAAATTAAAACTGATTTTAGAAAGGTTGCAGACTTAAGGCATGATAGTCTCTCCAAAAAGTTATAACAGGATCACTGACATAGGTGAAGCAGAAGAAATTTTAATACCATGTACCTCTAGTATTATCTTCACGCAATCTGGCAAAGCAGATGACCAGGAAGTAACTACAGTAAAAACAGGTACTAAACATCTACCACAGGTGAATTTGTTCCTTCTAAACAAAACTTGAATATGACAGCAACTAAGAGAGTCAGAGGTATAAGTGCCCTAAATTGTCATGGTTTTCACTAAGGATCTAAAATTAATGTGTACACAGGGAGCAAGGAGGTGGTTAGTCTCAAAGTGCTATCTCTGGCCACACAGATGTTGCATAAAGATAGCAATTTTTAAGAACAATGGGTTGAGATATGGGTGGAACCCGATAATGCATTTTAAAGGTTCCTATATTCTGATTCCAGAATATTTACATCAAGAAATAAGGTTGCAATAGTGTTAAGTTAGAAAATTCATATAAGCGAACTGCATATGTTAACACAAATATGAAAATTTATATATTACATATTGTATTTTTAACCAACAGCCACCAAAACATCTCTTTGGACAGGTCAAACAGCCCCATCCTAGCTCATCACTTCCTAAAAGCCAAACACTATTATCCTTGCTTAGGTCAGAAATGGGGATGTTCTCGATTCACTTTTCTTCACTCCGCCTGAAACCCAATCACCCACCAAGCATGCAGATGCCACCTGAATCTATTTCTCTTCATGGCTGCTGCCACTACTCTAGCTCAGACTATCATGATCACTCATCAACTAATTTGCAAATATGATCAGATACATCAGATCTTTCTATAGCTTGGGTTCTGAGGGCGAATTGTGTTTATGTTTTTGGTGTATCAGTATCGATGTTCTCTTCCCTGGGAGACTAGCATAGTCCATGAAGAATCGCAGGACTAATAATTAAACATAAGACTGCTGGCATAAGGGCATGTTCTTCGTGCAATTAGGATACCACTTTGGGGCCCAGCACAATGGCTCAATTGGCTAATCCTCCACCTACAAGGACTGGAATCCCATATAGGTGCCAGTTTGTGTATTGCCTGCTGTGCTTCCCATCCAGTTCCCTGCTAATGGCCCAGGAATGTAGCAGAACATGGCCCAAAGCCTTGAGACCCCGCACCTCCATAGGAGAATCGGCAGAAGCTCCTGAGTCCTGGCTTCAGACCAGCTGTTAGAGCTGTTGCAATTATTTGAGGAGTGAACCAGCAGACACAAGATCAGTCTCTCCTTCCTTCTGTACATTGCCTTTCCAATAAAATAAATAAATCTTAGAAAAAAAAAAAAACAGAGAGAGACAAGACCCCACTTAGGATGCCTGCATCTCACCCAGGGCAGACACAGGGCCTGGAATCAAGTCCCGGCTCTGCTTCCGATTCCAGCTTCCTGCTAATACAGTCTAGGAGGTAGCAAGTGGTACCTCTGCTACCCATGTGGACAACTAATGGTGTTCCTGGCTTCTGGTTTCAGTCTGGCCCAGCACTGGCCTCTTTGAACACTTGGCAAGTGAACTCATAGATGGAAGAGCTCTGTTTTTCAAATTAAAATAAATAAATAAATAAAAGCCTGCTAGCTTGAAAAGCTGCAATTTTATTGCGAATTGCTGCTCCAGAATGTTGATTCTCTAAACCAGAAAAATTTCAAATATCATGTTTCAAAATATGGATCATTAAAAAAAAAATCCCACAAAACCTCAAACAAAGTAAAAATGGTCATAACTGTTTGATGCTGACCTTGATGTGATTTCCTAGTGTCTACCCTGACGCAAAACCTAAGTGGCCAGAAGAGAAACACATAAGATCTCACAGGACGAAGACTGGAGGAGGAAGAAAGGGAGAGCACATTCAAGGAAGAAACAACGGCCACACCTACCGGAATGCTTGATTCAGGATCTGATAATGAAATTGCTCGGGAGCCAATCCTATGACAACAGCATTAGGATCATTCGTTTGTATTCCTGGGAATGGAAAAATATTTAATCGCTGAGAAATGCAATTAAAAACAATATTAGTTTTTGTAGAAAAGTAGTTTTAGTCAACCAAGTGCAAATTTTTGCTATAGTCATAATTTGAAGTTTAAAATTTATCCTGGTTGGATACTCAAAATATGAGATAAAAACTCTCTTTCCATATTCTTTGTGCATGGTGTTATAGCTACTCAATACGAGATATGAACTGAAGATTGTGAGCCAATGTTCTCAAACAAGAAACAACTTCTAATCAGATTCACTGATTACAATCAACAGCCATGGGTTCTCTACGCACTGTCAGATCAATAGCAACTGATGAGGGATGCGCATCTAAGAGACAAGGGAAATTAGATTTTCTAACTGACATAGCTGAGGGTAACACATTCAGGATAAATACAGAGAGCACTGTAGACTCTGCCATTTTCTTTCTTTCCTCCTTCTCCTTCTTCTTCTCTCTCTCTCTTTTTTTTTTTGTTAAGGCAGTTACCCAGAGAGTAGGAGAGACAGAGAAAGAGAAAGATTTTCCATATACTGGTTGACATGAAAAAGTCATGATGGCCAAGGCTGGGCCAGGCTAAACTCAGAAACCTAGGGCTTCTCTGAGTCTCCCATGTGGGTGTAGGGGCCCAAACTTTCGGCCCACCTTCTAATCCCTTTCCAGACACACTGGCAGGGAGCTAGAGTGGAAATGGAGCAGCAGGGTCTCTAAGCAGTGCCCATATGGGATGCCAACATTGCAGGTGGAGATTTAACTTGCTGCACCACAACAGCCCCAGAATTCATTATTTGCTACATAATCCTCTCTCTACTTTTAGCTTCACAACTACTTTATAATTAAAGTATGTTTTAAGGCCCTTGGTATCTAATAACAGAACTTCAAGTATGACAACCAAACAAGTACACTCACCACGAGTTATTCAAAGTCTGATTAAAAAGCTGTGTAGATTGTTCCTATGGCAATTCCTATTTGCCTCTTTTATTGCCAGGCTTTTCAATTTCCTAGTAGCCCCAAGTATTGAGTAAATGGTTAAAGTTTGTTGATGGAAGAAATAAAATTGTTGGCATTGCCAAGAGTTAAAATTACCTGTGTCTACCACCAGCAGAGACATTTTTTTATTGGCAAGGAAATTTACATTCCCTTCAAAACCATTTCTAACTTGGCTACAGCCCTGTATATAAGCATGCTGTAAGTACAATCTTCGACTGAACAAACATGTTTCCAGACCACAGACTCTGCTTATGCTTATACTCATATATCCTAATTCTCCTTACTGCTAAAACAGCTAGAACTGTAACATTCCTTTAAAAATCAAAAGAGAAAAATCTGAGTAAAACCTGCTTTGTAGACCTTAAGGTGAAGCAGAAAATACACACATTGATTGGAGAATGCACCTGCTATAATTTCTGGTTGTCCTAGTTGGTTCTGAATACCATCCTCATAAGAAGCTCACCAGGCTCTTTTCTAGCCTCCCTTGCAGCTAAGGGTACTGGCTCAAGACTGCAGCTCTGCCAATCTGCCAATCTGAAACCCCCACGTAGGGCTTTGAATTGGAAACTAGTAATGCCAAGAAGCAGTGAGATGTTCTGAAGAAATAACTACAGATTCTAGTAGATTCTGAGGCAGCAGTCCTGGTGGGGTCACCCAGAGTAAGTTGCAGAGGTCAGGGGTCAGCAGGGACATTAATGGCACCTGTCCAGCTGCAACAGCCCCAAAGACCAGGCATCTTTGGCCTTTCTGTGGGCTATCTCTGTAGAAGGACAACTGATCAGATCTGTAGGAAAACAACTGATTAAAGATAGGACACTGGGAATCTTTGCCAGTGTGGCACCAGAGCTAGTTGCTACCCTGTCTGGAAGGATGCCTGAGCATTTGATGTGGAAATGAACAGGCAAGAAATTCCCTAAACCTCAGTTTTAAATAATGATCAAAGAGAGGTGCTTCCTTCCCCAGACAGGGGAACAGGAACTAACCCACTGAGGAAAGGAACCTGCTAGAGGAACAAATTGCGTATTATGAGACCCCCCTCTTGCTGTTGAAATTAAATTCCTCGCTCTTCCCTGGTGCCTATGTGACCAGGCCTTTATATGATAGCAGTAAACTTCAGCTATTAGTAATCTGTTAGTAAACTTCAGCTATTGAACATCAGTCAGTAGCCCGCGTATATTATTACTGGCTTCATGTACCAAATCTGTTGCTGCTGGACAGTGAACATGTCTTTTTCTTTATGTCATAGAAATTCTAAAAACATATAAAAGAGAATAGTATACATCAAATATAATCATTTTCACTTTATATAATCAAGATTTTAAAAATACATCAACAAAGTTAATTCTTTGACATCATCACTCAATACTTATAATTCATATTTGAATTTCTTCTGATGTATGAAAATACCTTTTTTTTTTTAACAAAAGATGTACTTATTTGAAAGCCAAAATTACAGAGAGGAAACGAGAATTAGAGAAAGAGAGAGACATCTTCCATCTACTAGTTCACTCCTGCAACGGTTAGGGCTGTCCAATCTGAAACCAGGAGACCAGAACTCCATCCAGGCTTCTCAGGAAAAAAGCATCTTCATTGCCTTCCCAGACACAATAACAGGAAGTTGGACTGGGCAATGGGACAGCCAGGTCTCCAACAAGCGCCTATATGGGATGGCAGCTTGACTGACTGCACCACAATGCTGGACCCTAGTCCTTACAATCTATCCCATATGACCAAATCAGAATACGGCAACAGCATACTTCACCACGTTCATGGAAAATGGAACTAAGGGACAAACAAATTTTGGTGCAAAATCAATTTGAAGAGTTAGCATTGTAGCACAATGGGTTAAAGCTACTGCTTATAACTCCAGATCACAGAGCTAGTTACAATTTCAGCTGATCTGTGTCAGGTCCAGCTTCCTACTAACACATCTGAGAAGGCAGCAGGTGGTCTAAGTACATAAGCCCTTGCCACAACCTGGGAGAGCCAGACCTTGCTTCAGCCTTGCCCAGACCCAGCTGTTGCAGGCATCTGGGAAGCGAATCACTGGGTGGAGGATGTCCCTCTCTCCCTCTATCTATATCACTCTGCTCTTCAAGTAAATGGCTAAATAAAAATTTTATAAAAACATATGAAATTTTTACTTCTTTCAGGAAAGTTTCATGAAGTTTTTGAAGTGCCCTTATAGTTTAGTCACTTGACTTTAATTACAATTGTTTTCTCTGAGTAGTTATATCACTAATGTTGAAGTTCATTTGTTTTCATGTGGTTTTTAGGAATTAGTTTGATCACCTTTAATTGTCTCCAATTATGTAAAAACATTTACATGGTTCCAAAGTCAAAACATACATACAAGGACACTTTTTTAGAGAAGTCTGCTCTTTTAACACCATCACTCCCCTGCCTCCTTTGGCTAAGCTTTTCTGTTCGTTTTTCATTTATCCTTTTTTGGCTTCCTTTCACAAAAATAAGATAAATATATATGCAAATTCATTTCCCATATGTAAGGTTTTGGACATCTTACTATAGCCTATGAAAATATCACTCCTTATCAGGAGTCAGAACTCTTTTTTTTTAAGATTTAATTATTTTTATTACAAAGTCAGATATACAAAGGAGGAGAGATAGAGAGGAAGATCTTCCATCTGATGATTCAATCCCCAAGTGAGCACAACGGCCGATGCTATGCCAATCCGAAGCCAGGAGCTTCCTCCAGGTCTCCCACGGGTACAGGGTCCCAAGGCTTTGGGCTGTCCTCGACTGCTTTCCCAGACCACAAGTACGGTGCTGGATGGGAAGTGGTGCTGCCGGGATTAGAACCAGTGCCCAAATGGGATCCTGGCGCATTCAAGGTGAGGACTTAGCTGCTAGGCCACACCGCAGGGCCCCAGAACTCTTTATCATTATTTACTTTCAGCTACAAAGCATTCCATTTTGTGGATATAGCACAGTTTATTCAATCATTACCCTTTAATGAACATTTGGGTTGTTTTCAATCTTTTACTATTACAAATAATTCTGTAATGAATATCCTTGTTCACATGTTATTCTGTATTTTTATGACTATATCTTAGCGATAGGTTCCAACAAGTGGTGATGCCTCACATGTAATTTCGTTAACTATTGCCAAATTCCTCTCCATAGGAGTAGCAGCATTTTATATTCCCATCAACCATCAAGTCCTTTTAGTAAACTTATCTTCTGTCTAATTCAGCCAAGTTGTGTTGCTGACACACTGGTGTATTAATACAAGGTCTGACATCCTGCCCAATGTACACTTGTGCTGAAATTGCCCATCTTTATTTGAAAGCTGATCATGTGAGTCTATAACTAATGTATTTATGAGCATTCTTATATTGTATCATTTCACTCAACTGCTTACAAAAATAGGCATGCTATTAATTTTTCAAAAGAGAAAGCAATTTCATTTTTTCTTGATTGAAAACTATTTCCTTTTCATTGTAAAAACTTCACACTGCCCAGAAGGATATCTATTTTTAAACAAGAAAATCTTGTTTCACTTAATCGAACATTATTTAAGCTGATTACAGTGGCTCCTGGACTGAGGTTTGCAGTACTCAAGGTAATTCTGATCTGTGTCTTTTCTTCAACTATGTATCATGATCCATTAGTTTATAAAACTAACGGAATAACTCTAACAGCTTCAAAATCAGACAAAAACGAAGTACAATAAATAGAAATACAGCATATCTCTACAGTAAGCAGAATGTAAGCATATAGAACATACATGAGCACATATACCACTATGTGGTATAGAATATAAGCACATGTACAAATGTGCTGGGTTTCTGTGTGGTCTGTGTGACTTACTGAGGGTTGTGGTCAAAACTGGCTTCAGAAACACAGCGTCATTTCAGGCTGTATCAGTAGTACTGACCATCTCAACAACACATGGAAATCAGAATAAACATCCAAATGTCCATTTTTATGAGTGATTTCGAAGCATAATTTAAATCATACCAAGTTGGCCCCACCTTTGAAATCAGGCAGTGCCCGATCATCCACTAGCAGCATGGGCCTGACTTGTTTCTGCTCCACCAAACTTCTGGCTGCGGTCAGAGACGTGAATATTTCATCTTCAGAGATATCGAACTCCAATCTTCTCAACCTTTCCAACAGGTCCTGCTTGCTCTCTTTGGTTGTATTAGTCACAAACCTAACCATCACAGAAGCAGCACGTAACCTGGAGGAGTAAAATTCCGCAGTCAACAGGCAGTTTGTACATTGCATCCTGTAAGCCTTCCTAATTTGGTAATGCTGTACCAAAGGGCAGAAAGTGAAGGATAAGCCACCACCGAGTGTTCTTGTGGTCAAAAAGCATTTTTAAAAAAGATTTATTTATCTGAAAATCGAGTCAGAGAGAGGGATAGACACAGGGAAAAATCTTCTAGCTCCTGATTCACTCCCCAACTGTTCACACCAGCTGGGGCAAGGAGCCAGGAGCTTTTCTCCCATGTAGGTACAGGGGCTCAAGCAATTGGACCATCATTTACTATTCAGAACTGCTTGGAAATGGTCTATTCTCTGGACTTCACCTCTAAAAGTTCCCAAATCAAACTGTAAAAGCTCTATCTACCTTTGGCGAGGCCTTCTACCTTTCACTACAGTTTAATAAAGAGGAGAGAAAAAAAGCTTAGTAAGCACTGTTTACAGAAAACGTAGGATCAAAGCTTTCAGAGAATATCCATTGATACCACCTCTCTTCCTAAAGATGAGAAAATTGAGGCCTATAGGAGTGAAGCAACTTGCCCAGCTTCAAAGAGCAGGCAGCAATGGAGCTGGCACAGGAGTGCCAACCGTGTGTATGTCCTGAGACAGGCTTGGACCTCTTATGCTGGAACATAGAACACCTCCATCATGTCAACAGAAACTGGCAATCCCTAATGCATTAATATCATGCAATTAATTAATGCAATTTACATACAAAAACCCAGAAGGCTTAAAGAAACACTCCAAGTTTGTTTTCTCCTTGAACTACTGACATGCAAAACTGATTTGAGTCCATGATATGCTTCTGAAAGCTAAGCTGACAATCATGCATTAAAAACACGGGGTGGTGAAGTCTTGAAAAATGAGAAGCTGGGGGCAGGGGCCCAGTGCAGTGGCCTAGTGGCTAAATCCTCAGTTTGCATACACCAGGATCCCATATGGGCATCAGCTTGTATCCTGGCTGCCTCACTTCCCATCCAGCTCTTTGCTTATTGCCTGGGAAAGCAGTCAACAATGGCCAAAGGCCTTGGGACCCTGCACCCATGTGGGAGACCTGGAGGAAGCTCCTGGCTCCTGGCTTCAGATCGGCCCAGCTCTGGCCGTTACAGCCACTTGGGGAGTGAGCCAGCAGATCTTTTTTTCGTTAATTCCTTCTTTCTACATATCTGCCTTTCCAAGAAAAAATAAAATAAAGGGCCCGGCGCAGTGGCGCAAGTGGTTAAGGTCCTCGCCTAGCACGCCCGGGATCCCATATGGGCGCCGGTTCTAATCCCGGCAGCCCCGCTTCCCTTCCAGCTCCCTGCCTGTGGCCTGGGAAAGCAGTCGAGGACGACCCAAAGCTTTGGAACCCTGCACCCGCGTGGGAGACCTGGAAGAGGCTCCTGGCTTCGGATCGGCATAGCATCGACCGTTGCGCTCACTTGGGGAGTGAAACATCGGATGGAAGATCTTCCTCTCTGTCTCTCCTCTCTGTATATCTGCCTTTCCAATGAAAAAATAATAAAAATAAATCTTTAAAAAAAAAAATAAATAAAATAAAATAAAATAAAATAAAATAAAATACACATTAAAAGAGAGAGAGAGAAAGAGAGAGAGAGAAGCTGGGCCAGTGTTGTAGAGGCAGGTGACACTGCTACTTGAGATGCTGGCTTCCCACATCACTGTGCTCCATGCCCTGCTAATGCATCTGGGACGGCAGCGGAAGACGGTCCAGGTAGCTCGGCCCCGCCAGACGGAGCTCTGCATTCCTGGATCCCACCTGGCCCAGTCCTGACTGTTGCAGCCACTCCACTGTTCCAGCCGTGGAGTGAATTCACGGATGGAAACTCATGTTTATGTTCTCTCTCTCTCTCTCTCTCTCACCCCACCACCTTGTAACTTTGCTTTTCAAATAAATCCTTTCTAAAAGGAAGAAAATTATTTTCTTGATCCTATAGTGTTTTAATGCAAAATCTAAAAATAAGCTTAACTTAGACATAATTTAGAATTCTTTATAAATACCTGCTAATTTTAATTTCATGCTTGCCCCTAAAGGCCACAAAGTATAAATCACTACCCTCAATTTAAAACAAATAAGCAAATAAAACAGAAGAGATTTTTTTCTAAGTATTCACATAAAGCACATCAATTCACACAATTAAATAATTCACGGTAATTATTACCACCTCTGTAACATCTGTGTAGTAGATGTTACAAATCTACTATTCTGCAAAGCCCATTAAACACATTAAATTTGGCTCAGTTCTCAAAAAAGAAGGAATTACTTCAATATAACTATTATCCTAAAAAATAAGTGTAAGTTATGTATGAAATAACCACATCACTTTTAATGAATTTTATTTTACTAGTCCCTCAACTTCCCTTTAGACTGTTTCTATAGGAACCCAAACGGGCCATGCCAGTGTAGAGATGTCCCTGGAATGGAGCTGCCAGAGCCAGGAACAGCCCACGTGTTGGCTGCTCCACCTCTGGATCAGCAAGCTGCAGTTTACACAGAGAGTTAGAGATGTTGTTTAGTAGCAGGAGAAACAATTCTTGCTCCAGAGCAGAGATCATTCTCCTTTACAGCAGAAAAGGCCCTGCCCACAGCAACCACCTATCTCTGGCCCCGGAAACCCTCATTAACTCGAGAGAAAATTCAAGTGCCTAACCAAGGTCCTTTGGCTTCGAAAACGTCATCCACCATCTCTCCGCCTACAAAAGAAATGTAACTAAGATATCTAACAGATCTACAAGTCAGTTTCCATTTCTTGATTCCCCCCATGGGGAGTAAGCTCCTCCAGAGCTTTTTTTCCCTAATATCTGACACTGTGGACGTTTTCTAACAGCATATAACAAACATTTTCAAGTAGGAAAATGGTTCATTTGAGGAGTGAACCAGCACACAGAAGCTCTCTGTTTCTCCTTCTCTTTGTAACTCTGCATTTCCAATAAAAGCAAATAAATCCTTAAAAAAAGTTGGGAAATGCTAAACCCCATAGACTATGGATTGTTTATTTTAGAAACCCCTAACTTAGTGTGGGATGATGATGCTTAACACTGGCTATTGGCTTTTAGCAAGACACTCATAAGCAAATGCCCACATTCATTTTTACATGTGTTTGCTTTGCATCCCCAGTTTGTGCCCAGACAACTAGTCTCTGAAAACATTTAGTTCATGGAAACAACTATGACATTTCAAGGCCTTTAATTAAACTTCAGTTGAATAGTGGCACATTCCGTGACAGACCTCACGAGCAGCGGGGGTGAGAGGGAAAGGGAATAGTTTGCATTGGCGTATCCTGTGATTTCAGGATTCCTTTAGGATTTTTATAATGCTACTCATTTCTTATTTTAGAATCTTGAATTTTTGTTTCCAAATTACTTAGAAAAAGACACAGAGAGACACACAGAGAGAGAGAGAGAGAGAACAAAAAAACCTACAGAGGAAAAGGCCAAACCTAACAAAGGCTTGGTGAGCGGTGTCTGGCAGGTGTCATAACACATCTATCTTCAAGCTAAAGCTAAGGCAGCTCCTGTGTATATGGTGAGTTGGTGAAATGCCATCTCAAGGCCATCCACTCAGCTAATGATCTGCCTTGGCAAACAGAATCTGCAAACATATTTGTCAGCTGAACCTGGAGGAGAACTTGCCTTTTAAGAGCTTCCTGGGCGCCTGGCACAGCTGCATCTTCAATGTGAAGTGTGCCATTGAGATCCACCAAAACGGCTTTTAATGCACGGCGCGCTGCCATCCTTCATTCCCTAGGAGAGAACAAATGAAATTAAAAATACAGTTTAGAAAACAATGGACAATTAAAAACTGGTGAGCCTTTAAAAAGTATTATTCATATCCAGAAAGATACTGCTTGATGCCAAACTGTTTTTCTTCCGTAAAGAAAAAAAATGCTTTCAAAAATCCAAAATTTGATGCATAAAACTTATGATACTTGGGTTTTTTTTTTTTCAATCTTGAACTGAAATTGCAGAAGAAAAAGAACTCCTTGGTGAATAATTCATTATTTTAAATTTCCTGTTATTTATGTGTTGGAAAGGCAGAGACACAGAGAGAGCTTCCACCAGCTGTTTCACTTTCTAAATGCTCTCAACAGCCAGGGCGAGGTCAGGCCAACCCATGAGCCATGAACTCCAAGTGGGTCTCCTATCCAGCACTTGGCTATCACTTGCTGCCTCCTAAGCTATACATTAGCAGGTAGCTGGAACCCGCCGGGTCAGAACTCAAACCAGCACTTTGAATTTAGAGGACGATGCCTCAAGGAGCATCTTAATCACCGCACCAACGCCTACCTGTTTTAATTACGATGTGGGGGTGAATGGGAGCATTAAAAATCATTTGCAGAATCTTCAACTTGGCCTCCATACAACGAAATCGTTCTAATTGCCCACTTGCCGTGCTATGTCCTGAAATGGCCAAGGAGTTGGCAGTATTGACAAATCCTTGAGATGCCAAGTTACAGACAATTTTAAAGGCAGAAGATTACACTACAATGTTCAACTTTCCTTTTGCACATTTTCCTTTAAATAATTTATATTATTATTTACATCTCACATAGGATATAAGACCAAGACAAACAAGGGAAGCTGAAGTGAAGGGTGTGGGACTTCATTTTTTAGATTAGTAAATCCATTCATTCATTCAAATCTTCTTTCCATTGGTTGCCTTTATAATAATGTCAGACATACAAAAAAAAAGTAATACAACCCCCTTACCCATCATTCACCTCAAAAACATCAGACACAGTGGAGCCTTCTCTGCAGCCTCATACGATTCTCCTTCCTCTCCCAGTTTGGGGCAGGGGGAGAGGGGAGGAGATAATGTAGACCTAAGTTTACTACTACTTGCCAGTTCATTCCTCACATGGACATGGCTGTAATGACAAGCCAGGTCTCCCTCACGGGTGGCCAGAACCTGCTACCTCCCAGTCTACAGCAGCAGGAAGGTAGACTGTAGTCAGAGCCAAGACTGATCTCAGACACACTGACCCAGGACATGGGATCCTAACTAGAGGCTTACCTGCTAGGTCAAATGCTTGTCCTATCCATCCAACTTTTGATATATTCAAAGTGTTGTAGTAATGATACCATGAATATGTATAACTTGTCCTCTTACTCCATATTACATTTGTGACACAAATCCATGTTAACACCGAAAGCCTTACTTTTCACTCCTGAGTGGTATTCTATTGTATACACATGTAATGATATATCTATCCTGCTAACCATGAACACATAGGTAGCGTTACATAGTCCATCTAACAGAGTGCTTCTGGAACCTCCTTGTATGTCTCTGAGGACAGGTGTGAGTGCATCTCTCTGAAGACTTGTAGGATCTGAGGTGGTGTGCTCGCTCCTCTTCATCCTTGCAGGACACTCTCAGGCTGCCCTGGACATTTGTATCCCTCCAGCCCCCGGACAAATGTTCAGTGAGTGCTTACTCTGTGCCAGGGCCCAAGGAAACAGCAGAGGAAAAGGGTTAGAGCTACGCTGGGAGGAATCCTGGAGACATCAACAGGCTATTCATACCATCTGTGGAGAGAGGAACTATGGGAAGATCCTCAGGAGGGGAGGGGGAAGGGGTGTCAACAGCATCTTAATTTTGGACAGACGGTGAATGGAAAGACCACTCCCTCCTAACAATTTCCACCTGAGGTGGAACAGAGACGACTCAAGACAGGCAGCTGGCAAGTCCTAGTGCTGCCTCGATTTCATTTTGAAACTGTGGTCAAGCTTATTTGTGGGCCCATGTTTGTCTTCAATATGTGGCCCAAGGAGGCAGGATGAAGCCTCAATCACTGTCACCCAGACAGGTGTTCTGGGCTGAAAGAATCACGGTGGCACATCAGCCTCCAGAACCTTGATTTCTCCTTCCCCCAGGAGCTCGTTAATCTCACTAGGCCCGCCTTCCAGAGCTGCCAGGGAGACTCTAGACTGTCCAGTGTTGTACTTGGAAACATTACTCTCCTTTAAGCCCAGTCCTGTCAGGCAGCAGAGAGATGGTGAAGATGACCCATGAATTCCCCCTCAGCTTTGGGTTCGTAGCTCACTTCACCTATCATTTCTGCTAAGTGTCTTCCCCAGACCCTGCACTCACCCCATGTCAGCTCCCTCCACACACAGGGCATACACACAAAACACAGACAGAGCCAGGGAGAAGCCTAGATCTGAAATATGTGCTTCAGAGCTGCTGGCAAATACTGGCCACTGATCCACCTGCATGGTGGGCATGTCCTGGGCATTTCAGAGAGACATGTATTTCTGCAGGAGAACATGGCCAGATTGGGAAGCATAGAAATAGTCCTCCAACTGGATCCAAGGAACCCATCAGCCTGGATGTCCTCAGGCCTCTTGCAGGCAGCTCCCTTTCCACGCCCCTGAACCTAAGCATAGGATCCCCCTCAACAAGCTGAAACTTGAGGCCCAAGCGAGAGTGATGCAGATGGTATACGAAGTGGTGTCAGGTGGTGAGGGTCAGGCAGGTCCAGGACTCAGGGTCAGCTAAGTGACCTTTGGCAAATGTGTTAATCACCCTAGGCTTCCATTTCCTTACCTGTAAAAAGGGACACGTAAATACCAAGCAGCACTGAGGTTCAGTGAGTTACAAGAATGCCTAGCAATCAAAAGCACACAGTAGGAACCTAAAAAATGGGTGCTGTCTTCCTCCTCCACTTGCCCTTGTGTAACAGGTACACCCGTCCCCGAATGGATAACCTGAGGGTACAGAGCAGCAGCTACAGAAGCACTAACTAGCCCATATGTATTTACTGAATGCCATGTGTCTTCTGCACTGTGTGAAAATGCTCTACTGTCGTGATTTCTTAAAAAAAAAAAAAAAATCCACAGAGAGGAGGGAAGCTACTGACTCTGAGCCAGGTTCTTGTTTAAAACAGTCCAATTTTAATTAAATTGCTGTCAAAATGGAAGAAAAGCAGCAATTAACCTAGCCAAAAAAACGTCTAGACACAGCACTTCCAACTCCCCATCTTCAAGAGGTGCAAGGAAATTGTGCACTTTGCTTAGTAAGTTTCTGCTTGATAATGGTAGAGGTACTGGTTCAGAAAACACCTGTGTATATTGTAGGGTCGAGGAAATAAACAAATTGTTCATGTTAAAAATAATTCAGGGTTCTTTAAATAAAATCTTAAAAAAAAAAGAAAAGAAAAGAAAAGAAAAAGGCCAGGCACAGTAGCCTAGTGGCTGAAGTCCTAGCCTTGCACACGCCAGGATCCCATATTGGTGCCGGTTCTAATCCCAGTGGCCCTGCTTCCCATCCAGCTCTCTGCTTGTAGCCTAGTAAAGCAGTCATGGACAACCCAAAGCCTTGGGACCCTGCACCTGCATGGGAGACCTGGAAGAAGCTCCTGGCTCCTGGCTTCGTATAGGCTCAACTCCGGCCACTGGCAGCCACTTGGGGAGTGAATCATCAGATGGAAGATCTTCTTCCTTGTCTCTCCTGCTCTCTCCAATGAAAATAAATAAAATCTTAAAAAAAAAATCAGGGTTCTTCTTAAGATGGAGGATAGAGATATAAATGTGGAACAGAAGAACCTGGTGTTGGTTTGATTTTAGGGGTGCCTGTATCAGCCTGACTTTTAAAATCACGTATGTGTTGGCTCTGACTACTACAAAGACCAAGAAGCAACAACACTCCCAAGAACTCGGAGCTCACCAGAGCCCACTAAACAAACCCAGAGCAGGTAGGGCAGTACACGCCGTTCTACCCAATCACAGATGGAGACACACGGACCACTCTGAAAGCTTTCCCATCAGTCAAGGACAGGGCAATTTGAACATTTAAATGGAAAATGGCAGGAATGAACAACACACTTAGGCAAAAAAGAAAAAGAATCCATGAGTCCACGCTACATTGAAAATATTTTAAAGGGATGAAAGAGGGCAAGTTACTAATGGAAGAATGCCAATGAAGGATGAATATTCAAACTGGAAAATCAACATTTAGTTTTTGACCACCAATTAGTAAGCAAATCAAGCAGGAGTCAGGATTGAAAACTAAACAACTGGTGAAAAATTACTAAGGAACAGTCTACTCACTCAGACTGAAAGAATCGCCCAGATTATGACCACTGGTTACAAAAAAATGATTGCTTTACAGTGGAGAAACCTGCTACCTTAACCAAGTGGTCAAGTTAACACTACTGACAGTGCTGTCAATAGCAGCATTAACTACCTACCGGACAGGGGAAACAGCTTCTCAGTCAAAAGACCAGACTGCTCCTATGGCCTCAGCATGTGACTCTCGGGTGTGTCACAGTTTCAAACTTCTTTAAAATTCACTCACTGCACAAGTCAGGCAAAACAAAGACAAATCATTCTCTTTTGTATGCACAGGAGCCTAAAACTGCCTCTCTCACAAGGTTGCTTTTATGAGACATGATAAAAATGTTCACTTTCAAGGTGATGAAAGAACAAAATAACCACAAGGCTGGAAAAAATGCTAATTACTAAGAATCGTGAGGTCTGAAGCCAAACATCCAGCTAGAGTGAGGGGCTGTCAAGATAAATACTGAGGCACAATGTGATCACAAGATTCAAGTGGGGGGCTGTAGTCTTAGTTCCCATCAGCTCCACAGGACATCCCTTTCAACTCGAATACGTCCTTTTGGAACACTGAATGATTAGAGTTACTGAGGCCCCTGGAAGAGCAAAACTGAGATGTCCCACTCAATCCTCCATCATATTTCAATGGGTCCACTGCAATCACCCTCCGATTACACAAGTTACCTGAACCACAAGACAGCATGTGATCAAGTAGTCATCCCTTGGTACCCCAGGCATTCCAGAAACCCCTCTACTGCAGATACTAAAACTCACAAATTCTCAAGTTCCCTAAACAAAGTGGCACAGCATTCACTTACAGTCCATGTAACCCCCCACATACTTTAAATCATCTCTAGAGTACATGTAATAATGAAGACAATTTAGTGCTACTTAGCCACTGCAGTACCACACTATGTAGGGAATGACAAAAGGAGTCGCTGTCTCTGCGGATAGAGCCACAGATATGGAGGCTAAGGGTAAATTGTAAAATGCCAGCACTACCCTCAAAAGAGAAAGATTATACAGGTGGTCCACAATTCATCATCCCCCTGGCTGAGTAAGTTATAAGGGACATCTCTCCAAAGAGCCATAAAGGAACTGACAGTGGTGCATGTTCAATGCCAAGAAAGCAAATTCTGCCTCATTCCAAGTAGAATTCCTCCAGATACTTCTGAGAACCTCTGTTCTGATGCCTCAGCGTGTCTCAACCCAGCAGGTCTTTGCACCCTCAAAGCTGCTCTCCTCCTATCATCTTGATGAACGAAGGGGCGGCAGCATCAACAATCCAACGCCTCTTTCAGTCTCCACCCCTGTACTCCAGCGCCATCATCTCTCCTCCAGCCGGCTTGAATCACAACCTGTATCTCCACCCTGCTTTGCATCTCTTTCTTGGAGCCCCAAAGTCCCGTCTGTGATTGCATGAGTGCAGGAGCTAAGGACAAGGCCAAAGGAGTTGGGCCTGCCTGGGTGTGAAGCCTGCAGGATTCACAAGCTGCATGAAAGTGGGCAATTTTCTTAACTTTTCACTCTCCACTGCTGAGGCAGAAACAATCACATACAATTCTAATGGCTGATAAGCAAGTTAAAGAAAGTAAGCCAGGGGTCACCTCAGACCCCAGGACCCTACATGGGCACCAGTTCTGGAGTCCTAGCTCTCCACTTTCAATCCAGTTCCCTGCTAAAGGGCCTGGGAAGCCAGCAGAAAATATCCGAACTTCTTGGGCTCCTGGCTGCCACCTCCTTCAGCCCTAGCCAGGGAAGCCTTTTGCCAAGTGAACCTACACGTGGACAATCTCTTTTTCTCTGTCTTTCCCTTTCAAATAAAATAAATCTTTAAAAACATCTATGATGTAAAGTCCCCAAATATTAGCATAAATTGAGGATTTGAGAAAACATCCATACGGTGACACAGAACTCAAAATTGCAAAAATACTTGATGAAATGAGAGTTCAATAAAAACTTTGTCTTGGAAGCTGAGATTCTTCTGATTAGGCCAGGCTAGGAGCACTAAGCCCACTTAGGAACACAGTTCCTGTCCTTCCCTGGACGCGTTCCTACGGGGTTCCAGACTTTTCTGGAACTCTTCCTTATTCAATAAACGGTATCATTCAGCGACTCCCCGCTGTTCACCCGATAAAGCCATGATGTACAGAGCCTAGGTTTATCTCTACAACTCCTGACTAGCGAGTCTCAAGGCACTCAGGGGGTCCCCACGAGGAGACTTTGATCCCCAAAACCCACCACCTGGTGGTCCCTTCTATGGCTCTCCTCTCCCCAGCCGCCTTCTGCAGAGTCTGGGCTCGGATTCCTTAGACCCTGCAAGGTTTTCCCGGCTCCATGGCCTCCTCTCCTGGGCTGGGCCTGGGGTCGCGCGTGCCTGGGACACTTTCGGTTCTCTACAGCTGGAAGACCAACCCCCCCCCCTCCCCCCCCCGGCTGAGGCCGCGGCAGAGTCGCCCGGGAGCCCCACGCCCCTCGGCGGCCACTTCGCCCCGCTCCACGCATGCGCGTCGGCCGCCGCCGAGCGGACACCGAGCGGGCGGCGGGGCGTGCCCCGGACCCAGCTCCCCGAGCGCGGGACGGCCCAGGGACATCGCCGCTCCGTCCTCAAGCCCCCGGAGCGGCGAACGACCGACCACCCGCCCTATCTGCCGCCGCCTCCTCTTCCGTCCCAGAGCGGCTCCTCACCCCGAACCGCACGCCGTCCTCAGGGAACGTCCGCACAGCCGCCGAGAGCGCCCCGCAGCTGCCACTCGGACGCCGGACGTGGGCTCGGGCCCCGGAAGTCCCGCCCGCCGCGAGCCGGTCCCCAGACGCTCCAGGCGCGTGAGGGATTCCAGGATGTCTTGGCTGAGCAGCGGTTCTCCCTCGCACACAGTGCCACCGAGCACCCAAGTATTACCTAGCTCTGCCTCTGCCCTCCCTCACTCCGCTTCATGTCCATTTCTGAGGGGCATCTCAGGGGGTCACCTTCTGGAGTCACCCAGTCTCCCAAGTCATTTCTTCCATAGTTCCTGGAAACGCATCTGGCACTTAAGTAACATTACCCATTACCTGGAACAGCGGCATTTTCTCACCTCAAGGCTCTTTTAAACCTTGGACTGTGGAGCTTTCCCACCGCGCCTCCTGTACCACAGGCCTGGCGTGCAGAATCTTGGCCCAGGGAGCCACCTCCCTGCACACGTCAAGAGTCCTCCTTTGCCACCGCCCCCCCCCCCACCCACACACACAGCTATCTCTCCTCTTGATCCAAATAACATTCGTGGGTTGTACTTGGGCACCATGAAAATGATCAAGCGAGCAATTTTCAGAAACAGTTCTGATGTGGGGTGGCTGGGTGCAGAATTCCAGGATGAAATGTAGACAAGGGTTGATTGATTGATTTGTTATATAAATGAAATTTCCCTATAAAGTGAAGTACACACTCCGAAAGAGTACAGGCATAGTCAAGAAGACTTCCCCTCAAAATCTGGGGACATCCATTATATGATCCAGAGGCAGGGGGAAGTAATGTCTGGGCAGGATTTAATTGAACATTCATAGAGAGGAGTGAAGTTTGTGGTAGGGGATTTGAGGACTGCTCATTTCCTGCCCTTTTCTGGAAAGCTCGGCAGTGTCGTGCCATCAAGATGGCGCCTGATGGGAGTAGGCGTGTCAACCATGATAACGGTATTATAATGACCTTGTAATGATGGAGCTGCTGTCAGCCATGTTGGTTATTTTTGGCTGGCCTCGGTTCCCAGCCAAAGCTGTGGATTTACAGGGACAGGTGGGTGGGATGAGGTTGTGAGGTGGCAACCTCAGATCCTGGCTAGCTCCTTCCTCACCTGCATCGGTTCAACAACAAACATAGGTGTAACTGATTTACATAGAGAACCCCAGGGCCATATTCCTGTTTTGTCCTTGACTGGGGACCCATAGCCAACAACTCTCTCTGTCCAGTGCTGTAGTCATGTGAGCCTTCACCTCTGGAGCTCCGCTTTTTTGCCTTTCTCCCATAAGTGTTAGTTTTCTGAGTGCCCAGTGGATAGAAGGAAATAGAACACATTTCTGGTTTCCCCTTTCGAATCAGTTGAATCTTTCATTTTAAGATATCACTAAGAGATTTTAAGTAAGTGGGTAGCATAAGTCATGTATTTTTCCAAGTACTTACTTTGTCTGTAATACAACAAATGGATTGAAGAGGAGCCAAAATGGATGAAAACAGGAAATTAAAGTAAGGGTAAGGGAAAAGGCAGCCTTGGGATACTCTATAGGTTCCAGGCTTGCGCGATTGATGTAACTGGTGGGGTCATTCATTGTTGTGTAATGGTACAGCTTCAGTGGCTTATTCCTCATTAAAATACTGACTCATCCAGTGGCTTGCCTTGTAATAGGGCAAGACTTGTAAGAAGGAATGGAAAGGGATGGGACACGCTGGCACACATGACCAGAATGGGTAAGGGCGGCACAGCTATACCGCAGCACCTACTGGCAAGTGCTGGGTCTGTTCAGTTATATCAGGCTGGACCACAAAACCTGCTGCCAAGAGCAAGATCCAGGACTGAGAGTGGACTGGTTGTAGGGGAACTGTGGGTACTCCCATGCTAGTCTGCAGCTCCCACTGGTGAGTACAAGAGCCAGGGCTAGGGGCAGGTCAGGCTGGACAAGGTGGCAGTACTTGCTGGCATACATGTGGGCCAGTTCTGGGGGTGAGTCAGGCTGTAGCACCCATTGGTGTATTTGAGAGCAGAATGGGATGTGAGCTAGGCTGGGTTATCTTGGATGTTAATATGTTTGGCTGTCATCCACTATGTCCCAGGTCCTTGCCCAGAACTGTTTCACAATATCTGACATCTAATGACCAATCAGGGACCCCACGAAACTTTTAGGGAAAAAAAATTAAATTAGTATCAAAAATTTGTGGTAATAACTTTAAAATAAATCAGCAAGAAAATGATTCATTTCAGAAGCATTTTATTGCAGTGAACATCTCTTACATCTACAGTGGAAGATTAGTGAGCTGAGAAAGATATGTAAATCATCTGGACTCCTTTCTGTTCTGAAAGTTACTGACCAACTTTATAGCTGAGTCAATAAAAGACCTCTGAATTTGATTTGCCTTAAGTCACATGGTAAAGGATATTTGGAGTCCAAAATGATTACAGTTAATCCTGAGAACAGATGAAGGGTGTGAGCAGGCAAGTAGGCAGTTAAAATTATTGTTCACTAAAATAAGATACCATACGTATAGGCATGTGGGATGTCGCTTACATATCTGCATCTGTACCAGAGTGCTGGGTTCCAGTCCTAACTCCATTTCCAATTCCAGCTTCTGGCATTTGGGGGGAAAGAACCAGAAAATAGAAGCCCTATCTCTCTGCCTTTCAAATAAATAAAAACTTCAAAACATTTGAAAAATGAAATACAGGAGTTATTGAGTCCTAACTGCTTTGGGGAATCTTGAGTCCACAAGCAAAAGCTCAGACTACCTCTGGCCACATTATAAGTAGCCTCTAGAGATGTAAACCTGCTGTATAGTGCTTCAGTTTACTCACAACTGCTTTGCTACAGAAACTATGGTCCTGCCTTACTGTGCCTGCTTTGAAGTGGACTGAAGGCTTGGACATATCTCAACACTAGATAACATGAAGGTGTATGTTATGTTTTAGGTGAAAAATGGCATCAGACCAAGATCTCTTAAATTTTTTTTCTATGATTTAGACTTACAGCATGTGGAGAAATGGGAATGCCTCAATTAAGCTACTTCTTTTCAATCTGTTTAAAGGTACAAACTCCAACTCTTTCATCCTCTAGTTGAAAGGCCAAAAGAACACTACCTCTAAGTACCACATGTGCTAGTTACTGCTATGAGCCAAGTAACCAATTAAGAATATATGATACTGCAAGTCAAACTGTCCAACAATCTTCCATTTTTAACCCCCACACAGTCAACAGGTATTCCATACTTGACTCATAGTTTTAGAAGTAACAAATTATAGACTAAAAAAAGTTACAAATATGGGACCAGGACGGTGGCCTAGCAGCTGAAGTCCTTACCTTCTACACGCCAGGATCCCAGATGGGCGCCGGTTCTAATCTCGGCAGCTATACTTCCGATCCAACTCCCTGCTTGTGGCCTAGGAAAGTAGTTGAGGACGGCCCAAAGCCTTGGGGACCCTGTACCTGTGTGGGGACCTGGAGGAAGTTCCAGGCTCCTGGCTTTGGACTGGCACAGTACCGACTGTTGTGGTCACTTGGGGAGTGAATCATAGGACGGAAGATATTTCTGTCTCTATTCTCTGTATATCTGATTTTGCAATGAAAATAAATAAATCTTAAAAAAAAAAGTGAGAAATATGAGGTACATATCTGGCCTACCAGTTAAAGTGCCAGCTTCCTAACCTGGAATACTTGCATTCAACACCCAGTTCCAGCTTCTAACTTTGGGTTTCTGCTAATGCAGTCTGGGAGGTGGCAGCAACAGCTCAAATAATGGGGTTCTTATCAACCTGTGGATGGGAATTTCAGAGCTGCATCTCTTTTTATCTCTCAACTTAAAAAAAAAGTTGCCCACAACCTGGTGTGATAGCATAGCAGTTAAAGTCATCGCCTTGAACTCGCCGGGATCCCATATGGGCACCGGCTCTAATCCCGGCACCTCCACTTCCCATCCAGCTCCCTGCTTGTGGCCTGGGAAAGCAGTCGAGGAAAGCCCAAAGCCTTGGGACCCTGCACCTGCATAGAAGACCCAGAAGAAGCTCCTGGCTCCTGGCTTCGGATTGGCACAGCACCAGCCGTTGCGCTTACTTGGGGATTGAATCATCAGATGGAAGATCTTCCATCTTCCTCTCTGTCTCTCCTCCTGTCTGTACATCCACCTTTCCAATAAAAATAAATAAATCTTAAAAAAAAAAAAGTTGCCCAAGATTCCTTTTGACTGGTATCAGCAATTCAGTTAAGGCACTGTGGTGGGGGGAGTATTAAGGATGTTCATGAAGTCTGTGCCTGGCAGGTTTATGTTCAGAATGTAGATAAGATGTGTTACACACAAAATGGAAATGAATGCAGTTAATGTTGACAGGGTTATACTGAAGTACAAAAAACAAATGCTTGCCTTGGAAATTCAACTTTATTTACAAATGTTCTCCTATAAACAAAGATGCCATTCCAGCCATTTAAAATATTAACTGGCAATTTTCACAAAAAGCATTTACACAATTTTAACCTTTCTGCATAAAATTGCATTGTGGGATGAGTAAACCTGTAAAAACACACACAAAAAAAATACAAAATAACTTATTTAGTCCTCACAGACAGAACAAAGAAACAAGAACAACACCCTTTAATGAGCTACTCCATCAAGAAAGGGAAATGTGATGATTTGGGGGAGATAAATGGTTTACAATAAAAATAAATGATTCACAATGAAGTCTTATAGAGTACAGTCCAATTGCAATTGTTTGGGATTGCTCTTTCAGGATAATGTTTATGTGTATTTTAAGAAATACATCATCATTGTAAAAAGGGCACAGACTTTTCTACAAAGGGTTTTCTACCAATTAATAAAAATAACAAATGAAATGAACAGTACAAGCATCATGTGACTTTACAGAGCATTCTTCTTCATAATGCCTATAAATTTGAATTATTCACAATGGACGTATACAGACAAAATAGTTAAACAAAGAGGTCAAAATAAAATTATTCAAATTACCTGTTTGTCACTTCATATGTAATGAGTTTTAGAAAATCTGTTAAATTTTATCTAGAGGAATAATCACTCTCACATAATAATTAATGCATAAGGAATCAAAACTTTGGAACAAAAATTCATCCCTGAGAAGTGAGAGATAGAAAAATATTTTAAAACACAGACGTGACAATCCTGTACCCTTTTAACAATCTTTATCATGACACGAACTATTATTAACAGTCAGCAATCAAATATTTCCCAATCCTGAAGAATTACTGCCTCTGATGATCTGATCTTTTTATAATGAAACTGCAAGTGCAACATTTTAAAGAATCAGATAAAGAGAAACTTTGCTTTAATTGTCAACTTTACATTTTTGTCAAGTGTGAGGTCGGCCTGCTATGAATATTCCAATAATGACTGAAGTAGGAACTTCTGCTGGCATCTCTTCTTCCGAGTCTCCATTTCCTGCACAGATGTTCACCCAAATAATAAAAGTAATACAATTGCAATTGAGTTTACTATTATCAATGGCACTGCAAAGAAAAAAGAAAGAGAGAAAAAAGCTTGTTACCATAAAAAAATTCCACAGGGGGAGGGAATGAGCAGGGATAAAAACTATGAAGTAGCAGTTCTTAGCACTCAGGAAGGATGAAAAGAGCTAACAACCATGTTGCAAATGCCGTGGAAAATAAAGCCCAAAGCTTTTATTTTCAAAGGGCTGGGGTACAGCACTGTGGCACAGTGAGTGAAGCTCCCGCCTGTGATGCCAGCATCCCATATGCGCACAGTTCACGTCCCAGCTGCTCCACTTCTGATCCATCTCTCTGATAATAACCTAGGCAAAGCAACAGAAGATGGCCAAGTGCTTGGGGTCCTGTCACCCATATAGGAGACCTGGATGAAGCTCCTGCCTCTGGCTTTGCGCAGTCCTGGTCATTGCAGTCATGAAGGGAGTGAACCAGCAGATGGGACCTTTCTGTTTCTCCCACTCTCTCTTTGTAACTCCAACTGTCAAATAAATGAATTATTTTTCAAAGGGTTTAGGTAACTGGGAATTAGATCACAATGGCCCACCTAGATGAAGGAGACACTTTTGTGGAGAGTAACTCTGGAACCAAAGAAGCAAACTGGAACAGGCAGAGGGGAGACCCAGAAGACTGCCATTGACACTTGAGTTAGAAATACAGTACAAAATGATTAATTTACACTATGCCCAACATTGTGATAAATGCAGCTAACATAGGACAGCCCTAAGCTTTATGTTTACATGAAAGGTTTTTTTTTTCTGCCTTCTTGAAATGCCTGCAAATATTTTCCAATATAATGACAGCTATGGGACATTTATTTTCCTCCTGAAAGTGTTCCAGGACTCCAGGTGACTTTGCAACTTGGAAGTGACAGTTTTCAAAGGCTTGTCATCCTTTTAGCTCTATGACTGGGAACGACTGTACCACTGAGCATTATGTATGCATCCACGGCGTAGCTGGAAATGAGTGGCAAACTGAGACAAAAACCAATAATCAAGCAGTAGAGCCAAGTTAAAGAAAAGAAAAAGCCCTCCCACTGCAAAAAGGGCGCTCGATGGCATTAACACTCAGAAGCTTTGCTACTTAGATCGAACCACAGAATTAAAAGTTAAGAGAGTTCCGCAAGGTTTTCTCCTTACCTCTCATCACAGTTCTTACAGATCGAACAAGGTTCATTAGCTGAGACTTAATTCCTGGCTCCTCTCCAAATCCGCCGATTCCCTGGTCTGCTCCCCAGCCAACTGGATAATATAAAGATGATTAGCTGCATTAAACTGTATTATGCGCTTGCCCTGCTCCCTCATTAACCATCTTTTAAAAGATTAGTTTGGGCCTGTGTTGACATAAAATATAAAGTCATATTTATAGGAAAAGTTCAATGATATTAAGTATTTTTATTTTTTTAAAACTGTTGATACTAGGCACAACTTCAACTCAATTACACTTTGATTTTATAAAAAACCAAACACTATAGTCTAAATTATCCCATCACATTTAATTCAGTATAAATGAGTGTTGTGATACCCTTTGGGCTTCTATTTCTTTTCTAAATCACCAAAGTATTACTCAGGGGAGAGCTGGAAACTGAAGCATACTGTCAGGCTGAATAACTAGTTCAGTCAAGAACACACGAGACTCAATCCCCTCATTTGTACAAAACCATGGTGAGAAGCATCACCTCCATGACTTGGAGACATTTCACTACAGCGTGGTGAGGGCTTTGGAGCACACAGCAGGCTGCCAGCGGACCCATCCCCTACCCCTTTACAATCATTTCTCAACTCCGAGGTGAGAATTAAGACCCAGGACCCCCCTTATTCTCCAAAAATGAGTCTTTTACCTTTTAGGCTATTTTCCTACAATATAAATCACTATTTCTTTACCTTTATGTGTGATAGATCCTTTCTTTTTCCTTTTCCTTTCCTTTCTTTTCCTTCTTCTCTTCCTTCCTTCCTTCCTTCCTTTCTTCCTTCCTTCTTTTCTTTCTTTTCCTTCTTCTCTTCCTTCCTTTCTTTTCTTTCTTTCCTTTTATACTTTCTCCTAAACATTTACATTCTCCTAAAGATTTGCATGTCCACATTTCTGTGATTTATCCTTCTCCTGTCCTCATTTCAGACCTACTTGTCACTATTTCATGTAACTACTGGTCTTCACTAATTCCCAACATGCTAACGCTTAAGCTGTAGACAAAGAAAGAGATCCATTTTAAACTTAAAAAGAATCAAGTGTCAGGAAAGAAGATTTAATTTTGCTTAGTCCACTGTTATTCGGTTGAAAAAGCTGGTGCTTGCCCCTTGGTCATTGATTGAGATATACTTGGTAATCAGAATTCACAACAGAGCTGGTGTTTTTTGACTCCTGCCAAGGCCTAGCTCAGGTTCTGCTGAGAGCCCTCCAGTCCACAGGAGTGGCATTGTTGTAAGCTTATGAACACTCACCATCACAGCTGTCACTCCCACAGCCCTTAGTGTATTTTGGGACCATGTTTATTCCAGTAAATGCCAAACATCATATATTAATATTCCTGCCTTATATCGAATCACAAGTACAGCTGGCTGTGCATATCCATGTGTTGGGCATCCATGGATGCAACCAATCTCAAATGAAAAGTATTAGGGGGAAGATACACATATTTTTATGCTTGTCACTATTCCCTAAACTATTCAAGATAACAATTTACATTATGTTAGGTTTTTATAATCATTTAGAGATGATACAAAAAATACATGGGAGGTTATATAAAATAGTATGTCATTTTATATACAGGACTTGCACATCTGTGGATTTTGGTATCTGCAAGGAGTCCTGGAATCAGACCCCTGTGGACAGCTACTTGCAGCAGCTCAGTCACTAACTACCATGCATGTGAAAGGCCACTTCTGATCCAGGTCTGACTTCAATGCCAGCCCTTTCCTAATTCTCTCCTACCTGTCATAAACCCGTTTTTCTTTTAAGCCCCTAAGCAACTCACAAATTACAGTGGTTTTGTTCTCCTGAGTGATTTTCATGCATCTTTATCAGATTATACATTCCTGGAGGACAAGGACTGCAAATTGAGTCATCTTTCTTCATCTTTCTGCTCTTGCCCATTCCCCACTTCACAACAGGAACTTAGCAAATATTTGTGAAGTTAAACTAAATTACAGTAAACTGAGTTAATCTGGGGTGAGGTAAGCTCAGGTCAATTGTGGAATCATCGGTAAGAACTCTTGTTTTCACTTCTAAGACATATGATGTATATTAAGTATTCACATCTGTTTACGCTAAGGACAGTTTCAGAAATGTTAGAGTGTGAAGTAAAGCGTACCACAGAATCAAGGGCACAAAGGCAACACTTCTCTTACTTATGAATCTCATTCTCTGTCATTCTCTGTCACTCTCTCCGGCAAGCAAATATGCTGCTTCTTCAATATTATTTTTGCTCTACTCCAAGTTTCCCTCTAACTTCTTTTCTTCACATGCCTGTCACACTCTTTCAGGTAGCTCAGTCAGCATTCCTCACTGTGTGACAATTTTCTTTGTAATTTAAGTCCAAAGATACAGCATTTGCTGCCCTGTTGAAACTATTTCATATCAGTGTCTGGCCACTATCTACAAAATCAGCACTATCAGTGGAGTCATCTTCCAGACTGCTACAGGAAAATTTGAAATTTATAAAGCACAATGACTAGAATAATTTTCTAACAGTTTACAGTATCATTTACATAAACTTAATATGACTGCAATGCACAGTAACAAAACAACCTTGTTTTGGTTAACCAGGGTGGATGACAAGTGTTCTCTTAGCTTTCTCAGGAAACCCTACTAAAAATGACAGTAAGGGAATACATTAATAGAAGAAGTCTTCAAGCAAAAGAAGTCAACAGAAACATACACATTAAAAAACAAAATGAAAAATTGATTTAGTAAGGAAGGCTGAAACGTGAAACCAGTAGACAACTAACAACAACAACAACAACAACAACAACAATAAAGGTAAATCATTGTGAAGATCCTTGGAAATGTGAGTAAAACCTCAAAAGGCCAGTGTGGGCCACGGGGATGGCCATGAAGATTAACTGTAAATCTATATAAGAGCTTCCTCTTGTCTAGACTACACTGATGGGAGGATTGTTCTTCTGTCAACCCCATTCAAATACAGGATGCTATTCTCAGCAAAGACTGCAGCACACGCTCAGGACTGGGGTAGGTGTGAAGAATCAAAGTCTGAATTCCAATAGCGAGAGTCCTGCTCATTCACCCTAATTGCTTAAGCATGGATGTATAAACTTGAATTCTGCAGAGAGGAAGTTAGAAAGTTACTCTGGAAATTGGCCAACTTCCTCGGAGTATTCACCTCAACAAAATCGCTAACTTCATTTGCCTTCCAGTGAGTACCACCAGTAAACAAATCTCAGTCACACACACATGGGGCTTCCAAAGCACCTTTCCTTGCTTATGCTTCACTATGCATTGACAGTTCAGAGGGAAAAGCCACAACAGATATCAAACAAAAACAGGATATACCAAGAAAAGGAATCTACAAGGAACAAGACAGAGCTCATGCTTTATTAGGTTACACATTCTTAAAACTAATATTGAGGGGCCAGCATTATAGTATAGCAGCACCTCGCAGAGGCGACAGTTAGGAGTCCTGCTCCACTTCCAACCCAGCTACTGCCAATGTGCCTGGCAAATCAATGGAACATGGCCCACGTCCTAAGATCACTGTGAGACCATGAGAGACCTGGATCCATGAGAGACCTGGAAGTAGCTAGCTTTGGTCTGGCCTAGCACTGGGTGTTGCAGCCATTTAGGAAGTAAACCAGCAGATGGGAGATCTCTCTGTCTCTCCCTCTCTAACTTTGCCTCTCAAAGTGTGTGCCTTGAAAGAACAGTTGAGGAGGCAAATTAAAAAGGCAACAAAAATCAAAGCATTAATGTGTCAAAATAGCTAAGGGTTCATAAACAGAGAAATAAACATAGGAAGAATATGTCAAGACTGCTCAAATAAATATTAAGGGAAAATATTCTGTAGCTGACCAAGCCTTTCAGCTAAAAGATCTGATCAGAACACAGCCCAACAAATGGGAAAAGATCTTCCTACTGGTATTGTATTGTCAAATTTCAGAACCCTCAAGATAAATAAAAGGTTTAGACAAGTTAGGTTACCTACAAAGAATCAGGAAACAAAATGTCATTAGGTGTCTTAATGGCAATACAGGAAATGAAAAATAGGATGACGTCTTCAAAACTCAAGAAAAATTGGTTCCAAGTGGAACTGTATACCTAAAGCACAAATCAAGTGGAAGAATGAAAGTGATCATTTTTCTATTGTTTAGTGAGTGATATTCACAGTGAATAAGAACAGGGAAAACTGACACACTCAGCCAGCTCAAGATAAGAAAGTTGGGGGAGGAAGGTCCTATGCACGCCAGAGTCACACAAGTGTAAGTGTGCTACTGGGGAGAAAACTGGGCTAAACCTTTCTGCTATTGTTTCAGTGTCTCCTAGGGCTTTATATGCTGAAATATAACCCATCTGTGAGGTATTAAGAAGGTAAAAACTTAAATCCAGCTATGGTGTTTAGAAGTGGGGTCTTCCAGAAGTGATTAGGATTGAATAAGGTCATAAAGACAAAACTCTCATCCTAACTGAATCCTGGTGTCAGAGAGAGATCAAACACTGTGTGCACATCCTTCTCTTGTGACGCCTGAACCATCTTGGCTCTCCACCAGCAAGAAGGTCATTGCTAGATGCAGCCCCTCAACCTCGTACTCACACAACCAGGAGCAAAAACTTTTCTTTATAAAGTAGTCTTCCTCGGGTATTGGGTCATAGTAACAAAAACAATGCACTACTTCACCCTTCAAGAGAAGTTAAGTCCGCCCGAGACTTGGAAGAGTAGAAAACAGCTCCACTTGAGGAGGGTTCAGGGTGAGAAAACATGGGGTAAGGAGCTTCTTTCTTTCTGACTTTGAAACCATATATACATGTATTGTTTTGATAAAAATTGAAATTAAAAAGAGAGCAAGCCCTGTGTAATGAGGCTGAGAGGAAGAACAGGCTTCAGCCACAAGTCATGTGAAATACTGAAAATTGTGTTTCAGAACAACCTTTATATGGTGGTACCAATTCATTTTCTTTACTTGATTTTTAAAAATGCATCATTACTAAAATTGTCACTCTACCACCCACAGCCAGAATTTCTCAGATATTAAAACAACCTGTTTTAAGTACTACACAGATTACGAAATTAGTA